GAAGCACAAGCTGGAATCAAGATTGCCGGGAGAAATATCAATAACCTCAGATATGCAGATGACACCACCCTTATGGCAGAAATGAAGAGGAACTAAAGAGCCTCTTGATGAAAGTGAAGGAGGAGAGTGAAAAAGTTGGCTTAAATCTCAACATTCAGAAAACTAAGATCATGACATCTGGTCCCATCACTTCATGGGAAATAGATGGGAAAACAGTGGCTGACTTTATTTTTCTGGGCTCCAGAATCACTGCAGATGGTGATTGCAGCCATGAAATTAAAAGACACCTACTCCTTGGAAGGAAAGTTATGACCAACCTAGATAGCATATTAAAAAGCAGAGGCATTACTTTGTCAGTAAAGGTCCATCTAGTCAAGGCTATGGTTTTTCCAGTAGTCATGTATGGATGTGAGAATTGGACTATAAAGAAAGCTGAGTGCCAAAGAATTGATGCTTTTGAACTGTGGTGTTGGAGAAGACTCTTGAGAGAGTCCCTTGGACTGCAAGGAGATCCAACCAGCCCATCCTAAGGGAGATCAGTCCTGGATGTTCATTGGAAGGACTGATGTTGAAGCTGAAACTCCAGTACTTTGGCCACCTCATGTGAAGAGCTGGCTCATGTGAAAAGACTCTAAGGCTGGGAAAGATTGGAGGCAGGAGAAGAAGGGGACGACAGAGGATGAGGTGGTTGGATGGCATCACAGACTCAATGGACATGAGTTTGGGTGAACTCTGGAAGTTGGTGATGGACAGGGAGGCCTGGTGTGCTGCAGTTCATGGGGTTGCTAAGATTTGAACATGACTGAGTGGCTAAACTGAACCACCCTACCAGGCCCAACACAAGGATGTGTTTACCAACCTGGAAACTCTCAGAATCTCACAGTTTAAAGATTTTTATGGAGACTGCATTGTGCAGGTGAAGGTCAGCTCCCTTCCCTCACTGTAAGCTTGAAATTCCAAGCTTCAAATCCTGGCTTTGTCTTCCTGGAGACCACCCTCCATCCTGAAGCCATCCAGACGCCACCGAAGATGCTTCTGTCACTCAGGAAATTCCAAGGGACCCATTGGAACTTTGTGTCAGGAATCAGGGGCAGT